TTTTTTTTTTTGTCTTTTCGTTTTTAAAATTTTATTCTATAGGGGAATTACCATAAGTTGATTAATGATGAGTTCATCGCATTGCTTCCTTGATGTTGCAATTGTTCAGGTTTGCGCGATTGTTTTCTCCTATCTTGCAAGTTTCTTGAACATGTTCTTTTTTTCTTTCCCTTGTTTTAAAAACTAATTGTTTGGGCCTAAATTTGGCACGCCCAGTCAAAAGCACACACCATTTTGACAGGGCCAAGGAGGAATATATTCAGTCCAAATATCAAAGGCCTAGAAACCATGTAAATAGTTTGGGCCTTGAGGAAAAGTAAATACAGCCCGCTTTTTACCATTTCTTTCAGAAATCCAGAAGAAGGGCAGCAGGTTTTTTTCCCAGACTCACGTGGTTCCTGTCTTGGAAAAAGTCAGCAATATCGGCTGGAAATAAATAGAAGACTAATAGCAGTTTTTGGGAGAAGAATATCTCAGAAAGAAGACTCTGTTAATCAAAAGCATCTCAAATATATATATGTGTATATATATTCAGAGATATTTTCTTTGAAACAGAGAAGGCACCATTTCCAAAAGATAAGCAGACTATGCCTTCTAAAGAAAGATAAGCGGGAAATAGGGAGCTGTTCAAAAACTGAGAACTTACCATCTCAAAAAACTTCAGACTCTTGCAAAAGTTGAAATGGAAGAAAAAGCATGGCACCCCATCAAGAAACAGAGAAGTAGTCATTTCAGGAATTGATCGTGGAGTGTTGGCTTGGCAGAAGATAGAACCCCCTTTCTTTACCAATTAAAAATTAAAAGATCTTTTTAAATTATTTGCCGCCCAAAGAACATTTCTTATATATACAAGGGAGGGTGAACAGAGCAAACACACAATCAATCAATACAACCAAAAACTCAGTCAAAAGACAAACACTCAAAATGATCGCTTGATCACCAAAAAAACCTAAGTCCAACAGACCCGGAGTCTGAAGCATCTCAATTTCAAAAGCTTTTCAAACAAGCTTGTAGAATCATCCTGTTTTCCTCCCCAGCAAAAACAGTTACATCACTGTTTCCGATTTAAAATCCCAGTTCAACAAATCAACAATAACGAGATTTCTCTCGTTACAAATTTGGTTCAACAAAAGCCAAGATAAGCAGAGTTTGAGCTTTCTCGAATATGAAAACCTCAACAAATTTATAGAGAGCCCTAACTAAGCAGCATAGGCACTACAGTACACCTCCAGCTCAAGTCCAGCCAATTCTGTCCCTGTCAGACGGAAGAAGTCCCAGTTCTGCCCATCCAAAAAGCCTTCCAGGGCTTGAAATGAATTAAAGCTCTGCCAAATTCAAACTTGGTATCGATTTGCAACTGAAGTTTAGCAGTTGAAGCTGTTAAAAGTCCAATCCGGAACAGAAACATCCAGTCCAGTCCAGAACAGAAGCATCCAGTCCAGTCCAGAACAGAGGCAACTACCCGGACAGAAATGGAAGCACAGCCCTTTCTTTGTCTTTGCATAGTCAGTTTTCCCTTTTTGAGCTTTGTAAAGGGGAGTTCTGCCTGAAATTAGTTCAATCTGTTATCATTTATTCTGGCCAGAACTACCAGTTTTTTATGTTGAGAAAAATTATGAAGTCCTTACCTGTCTAAGGCATAGAAAAGAACTTACTTGTGAGATATTCCTCACCCAAATTCACGATCGTTTTGTTCAGAGTCAATAGCTTGGGGCGCAAGTTATTCTTATTCTCAAGTCTGTTAGAATCAAAAGGTTGCTAACAGTGGCACGCTCAACACATAAAGAAAGTTAATTTATTGACCAAACAATGGTCTTTGAATTAATGGGGAACTTTACCCTACCATCATAGGAAACAAATAGAAACGGGTAAACAATTTGGCACGCCCAGTGGGACTTCTCAGTATATATACTATTAATATTTCAAAGTATATGTATTTTGGAGGTTCTAGCCAGAATCCACATCGCACGATGGAACGAGACCAAGCAGCTTTCCGAGAAGGACCATAATCAGAAGAAAGCGATGCAAGACAATCAGCTCAGGGCAATACAGGGAGCAGACGTTCCAGAACGGGTTCCAGGAGGCTGAATCAGATACAGGAAGCTGTGTTCTGGCAGGAAGCTACGACACAAACGAGTCAGGAGTCTTTGAATAATATAATAGCCATGATGCAATGGCAAGTTAACATGCAGTTCAGGAAAGACCGTGAGGCCGCCATGACCAGAATTCCAAATCCTGATGTTGTGGTTCAGCAGCTGGACCTTCCCTACGGTCCTCCACCAGGTCTAGCATGGCCATATCAAGAGAATCCTCTTATTGCACAGATAGCTGGAGTACCGGAACCTGAGGAAACCCAAGCTGTACAGAGGGGAGGAGCCCCTCTCGCCCAAGAGCATGAGGCCCCAGTCAGGCCAGAAGGTCCTGCACCAGTTCAGATTCCCCAGAATCACCCAGAACCGCCTGCTCCACAGCCTGTGGCCCCGCGAGATCAACCATTGCCACTTCTGCCCGAGGCACCAGCTGTGCCACCTTATAGACCAAGAAGAATGGACCCCAATCCATTTCCTCTTCCTCCGCTAGCAAGGGGCAGAAGAGGCAGATGGGGAATTAACCTTTTGGCCAACAATGATAGAAACAGACCAGGGGAAAACTGGAGGAACCATCCAGAGGTTGAAGAAGAGGAAGAACCCAGGGAAGAAGCTCTGCCCAGGCCATACAGGATGGAGCACAGATTCGACCATGTCCAGCTAGAACAGGGATGAAATCCACCTCCTGTCAATGCTTTAAATAACGTGGGGGCATTACAGAGAATGATCAGGGAGATGATGGAGCCAGAAGCCAGAAGAGGAGAAAGGCCTACCTATAGAAAGCCGTACCCGGCTTATATAGATCAGATTCCTCTACCCCCAGGTTTCAAAGTACCAAACTTCACCTTATTTAATGGAGAAGATCCTCATGCTTCCTCAGTAGAACACAGAGGCAGGTTCTCTGTCCAGTGCAAAGCCATAGAAAATAATCCTTTGCTAAAACTGAGGCTTTTTGGAAATTCTCTCTCCGGACAAGCTTTCACCTGGTATACTAGCTTACCAGCAAATTCTGTTCAGACCTGGGAGCAAATGGAAAGTGTCTTCCATGACTACTATTTCAGGATCCAGCCAGAAGTCACCATCAGTGACCTTGCTGCCCTCAAACAGAATGAAGATGAGCCTGCTCAGGACTTCATAGCCAGGTTCAGGAAGCTCAAAATGAAATGCCGAATCCCCATGGAAGAAAGACACTTCATCCAGATGGCTCAAACCTCCCTCAAAATCTCTTTGAGAAAAAGATTTGATGGAATGCTATTTGGGGATCTGGCAGAACTGGCAGATAAGGCATCTAAGTATGAGGAGCTACTAAGGGAAGAACAGCAGAAGAGGAACTCTTCCAAAGGCACATATTACAAGACCCCTTCTTCTTCAGTTCATCTGATTGAGGTAGAATCAGAAGAAGACATAGAAGACTCGGAGGAAAGAGAGATCGCAGTAGCAGAAATGGCAAAGTTAAAACATCCCATTACCTGCAAAGCTCTCACAAAGCCACCAAAAGATCAGAAGCCGCCACCATTCACAGGAGGGTTTGTTCCAAACAAACCAACACAGAACAAGATCTATTCCTTCTATCTGACCAAAGTCGATGCTTTATTTGATGAGATGCTGTTACAAAAAGCGATAGAGACACCTCATAAGCTGCCCAAACCAGAAGAACTCAAGGGGAGACAGTATTGCAGATGGCACAATTCCTGAAACCATTCCACCAACAGTTGTGTTGTGTTCAGAGACGTCATACAGGAAGGAATAACAGCAGGAAGATTGAAACTGGCAGAGAAACCCCCTTCAGTAATAACAGATCCGTTCCCCCAGCCTCAAGTCAACATGGTCAATTTAAATTGGCCAGAACAGAAGAAAAGCAAGCCAGCAGCAGAGACTAGCTCCAGCAGAAGTAGAAGAGTCACAAGGGAGATTTTTCAAAGGCCAAAGGCAACCATCTCGGCTGGAGTAGTGCTATGCAGTAAGTGCAAGTGTGAAAGTGAGTTAAAAGTGGCCCTAGACAGGCAGAACCAACCTGTACCCAGCGTATTTGATCGGATTGGAACATCCCACCAGCAAGGCCTGGTTCCGGCTCCCTCTAAAGACAACACTAGATAGAGGGGTTATCTTAGGCCTGCCCAGCATAGCAGGAGAAACCCAGAACAACCCAAGGAAGAGATACCAATTAAAATACCCGGTAACAACAAACCGTTAGCAACTATCATAGAAGGAAGATGGTATTCCGTTGGAAGAGGCGGTAGACCGACTATGGAGCTAACCAGAAGTCAGAAAAGGAGAGTTCAAAGGCAATATTCCACCTTCCTCAGGAACAGCAATGGC